GGACGGGGGAAGGGGGCATGGAGGCAAGGACGGAGGGACGGGCGGAGGGGATGACGCCACTGGGAAGGAAACGACGCAAGAGGTGCATCGCCCGACCAGCAGTGTCATCTTCAATGCGGGAGATGTCGAACCAGCGGAATAGGGGACGTGCTCTGCAGAACCCGTGGGCGGAGGGGACAAGGCCACCGGGAAGTTCGCCGGGATCTGGACTACAGTCTCGGAAGAACCAGCCTCCCTATCTCTGACAGCCCAACTTTACGATATGGCGCAACGCGGCCACGACCGTTCTCGCTCGGGGGTCGATGTTGTGGAGGACAACAAGTTGGACGGGATACACGTTGCAGTGGAAAAGCGATCAGCGACAAAGGATGGATCGCAGACCGTGTCCGAGGCTGGAAGGCGGGGCGTTGAAGCCCTCACATCTTTGAAGTCCGCTGGCATCCGGACTTCGACGAGCGGCTCCGCTGGGGAAGCCAATGCTGCGTCGGCAGGGGAGTCCGTCGTCGAGGGGCCGGGGCAGAGTGACTTGGACAAGGCATGTGAGACGGGTTTGTTGTGTGTTGAGAAAGCAAACAAGGGGTCGGAGAGGGTCGGGGGGGGGGATGGTAGAGACGACAAGCAGATGGGGGTCACTAAAAGGCTTGATGACGGACGCGGTGCAGAATGCAATTTGAGCAGTGAGGTGGAGGGCACGGAGGACCGGGTGGAAAGTTGTGGCGACAACGACGATTTCACAGACGCAGGCTCCGGAGAGTCCGCCGGCGAGTTCGTCCGGTTGTACGGTGGGCGCAATGACGAGGATGCTGAGTGCGGGACACCTGCAATGGCCATCGAGACGGAGCTCGCTATCCAACTTTCCAAGGAGGGCGACGATTACAACGTTTCTCCTTTGCAGGGTGTTGTAGAAACCGCAGTCGAGAGCCATGACATTGAACTGCCGCTGAGTCCTGCGAAACCTGCAGGTCGGCTGCTCGTTGACGAGGTCGTGCATGGCATCCTCGATCCTCAGAATAGGTCCCCTCCTCCGCTGGAGAACGGTGAGGGCAATGCAGGTTCCGGTCAACCGGCGATCGGTTCCGTGGAGCTGTCGGGTCCAGGGCCTCTAGCGGAGTCCGACAAACTCATCGGCAACACAAAGAACGATCTCAGGGGCGGCCGACAATTCGACAACGAGGTCAAGTGTGGGGACGACCCTGCGGCTGCGCAGGTGCTCAGAAGTTCTGCAAGGCAGTCGGCGCCGTTATCCGGAGACGTTAAGCAGGCTGGTAAGCGCTGATCGGTTCACTTCTTGTCGCGTTGTTCTGCTCACGGATGCAACATTCAGGCTTCCGTCGTCTTCTCACATTTGACGAAACTGACGCCACTGTCGTCCCCGATTTGTGGATGCTGTCGGGCATTTGATGTCGTTTCTGCACTATTCGCGAGACCGGGTTGGGGTTAAGGAATAGGGATGGAACGGCTGGTCAAACAGCGTGGGTTGGAGACTTTTGTATTGTGCTTTCCACTCGTTTACAAGCGCGGCGGGCGAACACAGGTATCCTTGTGCGATCTGTGGAAGTCCGCCAGGATCCGCACTTTGTCGCCTATCTTGTTGTGTGCTTCTCCCCTTCCTGCGTTGCAGTCTTCAACCCTTGGGTGATTGCCTCCGTAGTGGCTGCAGCCTCCGCGTTGTCCTTCGCGTCGTTTTTTCTATCGTCCAATTCCTGTCGTGTGCCAGGATGGCCCCGACGTCTACGTGTCCTCTGCCTTTCTTCGCTAACGTGTGGAATGGACATCATCGCAAACTCGTGACAACAACCCTTGATCTGCTTGCTTCTTCTGCCTCATACGCTTCGAGTCCATGAGTACGGTCGACCTGCATGCCTGGCATTCATRATCGCGTACCTGCAACCCGGTCGGCCGGAGCCCTTTCCTCCGATTCCGCGTCCGGTTGCTTTCCTGGTTTTGCCGGTGTTTTTTGTGACGGTGGCAATTCGGTGGTAGGGACATTTATTCATTTTCCTTTTTCTTTCTCTTATGTTTTACAGGGATGAGGGCGTTTGGCAAAAGAAGGAACTCGAGATATTATGCACACTTGTTGCGGAAATCCCCTCGACTATCGTCAACAAATAAAGATATGTTGAAGGCATCGGGGATTGATGTTGAGATCGGCAGGAAGGCACATGACGAGGCTATTGACGAGTGTCTTTCTTTGCTTCCTCCTGACAAGGGGTCGTACCCGAGATCTGTGAGTAGGGGCCAGAATATGTATGAGAAGTTTTTGGCAACGCGTCATGCTGCGGACAACAGCTCGTAGTCCAAGGTTTCTCACCGCCCCTCGTGTGCGTTGCTCGGTGTTGTGCAGTGAGAATAGAAGGGCCTCTGACACGGTGGGGAGAATTGGTCACCGTGACTGCGCGTCTAAGCTCGCAGGTTCTGCATGACCTTCTGCGCGGGGCCGTGCCGCCTGAGGCTGTCCTGGCTACACTTGCAGACGGACAACTGAGAGTTGCAGCAAGGGATCTCCACGCCCTTTGGGATATTGATGGCAAGCTTAATGACGAGGTCGTCAACTTCTACATGGCTCTCCTGGGGTCCACAGAGTGTCGGCGCCGTCAGCTGTCCACCGGGCTTCGTGTCTTCAGTTTCAACACGTTTTTCTTCGACAAGTTGAAACGGCAAGGGAACATCGGGGTGAGAAGGTGGGCACGGGACGTCGACCTCCTGCAACACGATATTGTCTTCGTGCCAGTGCACAAAGACAATGACCACTGGGTCCTTCTGTCTGTGAACTTGAGGGACGGTGTCCTGGAGATTTTTGACTCGTTTGCACATGTGAACGCCGAAAAGGATTTCTACCACAGCGTTTTTTATTTAATTGTGAAGTACTTGGAAGTCCGGGCGCCACCGAATGTTGTCGTGGAAGGAGTTCCTAGACAAGCAGACGGGGCGAGTTGCGGGGTGTTCATGTTGATGTTTGCCACGCTGCTCCAACGTGGTGATAGGCCGCCTTTTCCGTTCACTCCTCATGAAATCCCGCGTATTTGACGACAACTGGCGCACTGTGTTCTGGAAGGTTGTTGTCTTAGCTGGTAGCGTTTAGTGATTTTCGAATACATGACACATGTTGTTGTTTTCGGATGAGACATCTTCTGCATGACATGACATTTCGTTCTTTCTTTCAAATGTTGTTTTGAAAAGCGGTGATCTTCTTGTTGTGGACTCTGAGTTTGGCATTCCGCTGCTGTGAAATCAACCTTCTCTACCTTCCGCGTTCCAAATTTCAGAATGTCTCGTCGATCCTCTTTTGCGGCATGTTGTGTTCAACGCCATCCTAGAGTCTGGTTGTGTTCTCGGGGGAGCAAGGAGGCGGTAGTCCGCCGGCATCCGAAGTATAGATGTCGATGCCCTGTGCGATTCTCTTTTTGTGCGTTTTTTTGTCTGGAAAGTCAATCTTGAAATGGACTTGCTGCCCCTGTCTTGTGATGTCGGTGTGCAAATTCGTTGAATGAGGGCGTTTGTGTTCTCGCATGTCTTGTCGTCCTTTAATGATACAGACTTCGCATAATGGTGGGTCGATTGCTACGTGGACATGCTGCCTTTGTCTTGTGATGTCGCTATGCAAATTTCCTAAATGAAGGCGTTTGTGTTCTCGCGTGTCTTGCCATCCCTCAATGACGTCCGGATTCCTCGCACGAATTATGGTGGGCATGACGCTGCGCGCTATGTAGCACCCATAAGAGCACTGCCAGGAGGCTTAATCTGCCCGACCTCGTTCAGCGCAGTATGTGCCACCCTTGACAGCACTGCGCTACTCTTATGGGTGCCAGGGTTGGAAGGGTCATTTCCACTGGCTAGAGACGCGAGAGTCATCTCCTGTCCTGCTCGGGCACTGCCACCAGGGACTGCGATATTCCGACAATCTAATAAAATAAGGACTCGACGAGACTGGAAACACCTGGTTGTGCGGGTTTGGCCACGGCCTGGCCTGCACGGCAGTGGTGCCTGGTGGCAAGCTCCCGCTTGTCGTGGCCAATCAAGCATAAACTGGAGGCCGCCTACCACACGCCACCCATTGAGTGTGGATGTAAGCACAATTCCCTGCCGTCATAAACTCTATGTTCAACAAGTATGGATGTCGACACACTTCCCTGCTATCCGAGTTTCGCATGCAAGATAGACCGTTTGCACAGTACGCGAATTGAATGAAATAAACTTAAAGTGTATGATACTGGGGACGTGTGCTGACGGTGTGCACAATTCTCCAATCACATTTGGTTCTGAATCGGGTTCAGCAAGTATGGATGTCATAAACTTCAGGCTAAACAAGAATGGATGTCAGCACAAAAGTGCATAGGCCTGTCTACGAGTACACTTTCAAATAACTCCACATCTCATTAAACATCCAAAAGAATGTCTCGACGGAGAGGATGGGTATGCCTACATTGATTACGCCTTAGAACGGGGGCATTAGATGTTTGCCCGGATCCTGACTTCAACATCTGGGGTGAGTGGATGAGCAAGCCTGAAATTGCACCTCGAAATAAAGTCCGGATCCTGACAAACATCCAACAACATGTCTGAGGGGAGATAATGGGCATGGGTATATTGAGTCAACTGAAGCCGAAAGTGGATTCGTTTAAAACATGACAAATATAATGTCCAGTTTTAACGAATAACATGTTGGCAATTTGTCGCTGTCACTTCGGGCTTTTCTTCTTTTACTGTGTAATCTGGAGCTGTTTCACAAATGGCGGGTCATCCCACTGCTGATAGGCTTCCAGAATCGCGTCCTCCAAGATAATACAGAGGAAGAGTGTTTGTTCCTCTCTATTCCAGGTCGCATTTTATCTCAATTTTGTTGTCGGCATATTCTTAATCTGGTGTTGTGTCGTCCACTGCAAATTGGATCCAGACTGTGGTTTCTGTGAGGCCTGGGGATACAGGAGCAGAATGGGAGTCACCCCTTTCGGGAATGGCAGATCCTGCGGGAACACTGTGCCCACGGCGTCGCAGTCTCCGTCTTGGATGATATGCCATTTGAGGTCGTTCCTGGTCAGTCGCTGGGATCCCCTCCATCCCTGTAGAGTGAGCCCCTGCGGGGTGTCGCTTTGTTTGGAGGCTAGTTTAGGAATCCTCAGCGGGTTGGGGCGAAGCCCCAACTGCCACTGTGCGTCCGCCTCCGTTCGTCTGATTGGCAGAATCACGACCCCTGCAGACTAGATTATAGGAGGGTGGGGCCCAATCGGGGTGACCAAATGATCTTTAATGCAGATTAGTTTTTTAGGATCTTTTGGTTCAGTCCCAGACCCCGGATCCTTCCTGCCCTCAATTTGTCTCTGCTGTGATTGGTCAGGTGGCGGCCGGGGCATGCCCAGCACCTCGTCCATTGCTGTCCCGTTTTGCAGAGGGTATCGCGGTTGTTGTTGGGGGTGTTCGCCCTCAGGGCAAGGGGCAAGAAGGCCGGCCACCGGGGTAAAGGGCACATACTCTGTGTCCAGGGTGTCCCATTCAAACGCTGAGAGAGCACTGTCATCAGTGTCGTCCGAGTCAGAGTTGTGATCACTATCCTCAGCTTGTTCATTTGTCTCAACTTCTACCTCCCATGCCTTGCTAGTGTCCAGAGTATCTGGGCACTGCGCTATTCCCCTTGCACCGGGCTTCTGCATCTGACCCATCTCCCCCTGTTCCGGGACGTCTTTAATATAGAGCAGGAGTCGGAGAAGGTGCTTTGGCACTAGCTCCTCCGGGCCTATGATGGACAGGGCAGTGTCGTGCTGGCTACCCCCCACAACACTCTCCAACTCCTGCACAATCACAGCAGGCCAGGTGATGTCTTCCCATTGAATTTCATCTGTTTCATTCGATTCACCACACCCATGGTCCGTTGTGCCTGTGAGCCGAAGCACACTGTTTGTAGTGACGAGCGCTGTCTGATCAGCCCTGTATTTTGTGTTTCTGACTTTTTCTCTGAGATTGTATACTGCGTCTCTGATCCTGCTGGCCACTCCCTGCCAGTTTATCGTGGACGGGTCGTGAAATCCATCAATGTAGCGGGTGAGCGATGCTGTACTCATGAAGGCCCTCCGAATATTTTCCCAATGGAGGGGAGGGATATTCATCTGGCCTCCATGAGCCAGCAAGCCCATGAGGACTGTGTCCGTGATAACCTTCAATCTGGCCCGTACTTTCCTTTCCTTTGTGTTGCGCCTGGGGCCAGAGTTGGTGTTACTCCAATCCTGTGTTGCTCTATCGTGGTCCTCCCAGTCTTTCAGGGTGGCCTCCTTGTCAACCATCTGCACTTCTATCCCAGGTTATGGGGGGGCCGCTTCCGGAGGGGCAAGGGCAGCCTGTGGAGTTCCTGTGTAGGGAGGTCGCAGGATCTCCGTCGGCACAGAAAAGTGAGGGGAGTGCACAGAACGTTCTTGGGGCCTTGATCCTGTTAATTGTCAGGAGGGGAATCTTCTGTCCATGTCCAGGTTCAGTGTGATGTTGAAGTCCCCACACATGATGATGGGGGCGTCTCTCGGGAGGGACTGTTGCAAGGAGAGAAAGAAATGGACACGCTGCACATGCCCTGGGTCATTTGGCACGTAGATGCAGACAATATAGATTATTTTCATGGCCATGGTGGCCTTGAGCCAGACCCATCTCCCATCCACTTTGTCCCATTCCGTTTGCAGCGGGACTAGTCTTGACAACGGTAGGAGCCAAATGACAACCCCCATGGAGCCAGCGGAGCGTGCTGGGGCAGCGAATTTTGTGTACAGTAACGACCATACTTGCGCTGATGTGGATTGGTGTGTGGGGGAGTCTGTGAGGTCGGTCTCCTGAATCCCAACAGCATCGGGCCATTTCCCCACCATGTCCTGTCTGAACACTCTGAACATCTTCCATAGTGCCGCCTTTTTCTGTTCATTCGGTTATGCCAGGCGGTTGACATTGATTGATCTTATGTCCAGGTCCGCATCTGCCAACTTTTTTGCCCAGGGAGGTTGTTTCCTTGCTGGCAGTGGGGGTCGAGGTGGGATGGGGCAGCGGGGCTGGGCCAGAGCCGCGCCATGTCCCGGGGGGGAACCCGGGGTCGCAGGCCGTTGATATGGTTCCGGTTGTTGTCCTAGATGCAGTCGCAGCCAATTTTCAGGCTGCTGCTCACTTAATGCATTTTGTTGGTGTGGTTCCAATGCTCAATAATTTTGTTTGTTGGTGCATGTTTTGCTCACTGACAGCTGCTGTCATTTATGATTGCCCCTGTGGCAAGGCTGTTGATGAACGGCGGGTCATCCCACTGCATGTGTTCATCTAACACCAACTCTTCAAGCAAGCGGAGAAGAAGCATGACCTGTTGCTTGGCGCCCCAGATATTGTTTGCTCTCAATCTTGATGTGGGTGTGTCCAGCAACTGTTGTTGTGTAAGCTACTGGATTTGGTTTGGGCCTGGCTATCGTGACTATCGGTGCCAAACTGAACGAGAACTGGAGTGACACCTTTGGGGAAGGGGAGGTTGTGAGGAAAAACTGTGCCAATGACCCCCTCGTCCCCGTTAAGGTTGAGGTGGTTCCTAAGCATGTGCCTAGTCATCATCTGGGAAGTAGAGCCCCTCCAGCCCTGAATCGTGAGCCCTGTGGTGTGTCTTGAGATGTTATGAGTGCCCGATTGACGAGGTTCGGAACCCTGGGGGAATTGTTTCTGAGACCAATTTGCCATTCCCCTTCAGGGCGGGCTCATTTTATCGGGAGAATGACCATGCCGGGTTTTGCAGTCTCTCCGGCTTCCGTCCCAACATTATCCATCAATGCTTGAGCAAAGGTGGTCCGCTTCCCTTGTGGGTGGTCCATCGGAGCATTGCCGGGAATTTTTTGGGCATCTGTTTCTTGTGTGTGGTCACCAGTTTCTTGTGTGGGGGTTAATTGTGATCCTCCCAAGGACAGTCAGGCTTGCTCTATCCCGTCTGTCTGCTCCTCAGCCTGGTTTGGGGGATTTAGCAGTCTCATGTCTGTCACGTTTGTCTGGCCCACAGACTGCTGTGGGAGACTTGGCTGGACATCTTTCTGGCCACTTGTGTCTGGGCCATGGGGCTGGAGGAGGTCCACACTCTCCGTGGTTAGCAGCAAGGGGTCCCATTCGAA